GCCCCTCCTCCCCCCCCCCCCCCCCCCCCCCCCCGCCGGCCCCCCCCCCCCCCCCCCCCCCCCCCCCCCCCCAGCAATACTTACCGCGAACCAAATCTCATCGATGTCCTGTTCTTCTTCGTCTGAGTCGCAGTCGCAGTCGTCGTCAAAGCCGTGAGAGATGTCCGACCTACCGTCGGTGCCAGGCCGCCGCGGACCGTCGACAGAGCTCTTGGTAGCTCTCGACACGGAACGTGAGTGAGGCCGGAAGGCATGTTCTTCGGGTGGCGCAAGCGTGGCCCGCCGTCCGCGCGTCGAGCCTGTGCCCTCCGCCGGGTGCTGTCCCGACGTCTGGCCCGAAGCTATCGAACGGCGGGTACGATACTTCTCGTGCAGGTCATGCAGCACGTGGCCGTGGCGGTGGTGACGTTCCTCTGGCGTTTTCTGGTACATGAGATCCTGTCGGAACTTGGCCCGGCGCTCGTCGATGGACACGCAATGCCGGATGACCTTGGCGCTGCTTCGCGCCGTGTAGGGGAATTTGGAGCGCTGCATCCAGGCCGCCTCGAAGCGGGGGACGGAGTTCACCGTGTCAAACAGGCCCAGGAAGCGAATTCTCTTGACCGGCCGGCTGAAGGTCTCGCGGAATCCCTTGAGGAAGCGGTACATCTCGTGTCTCTTCTCGCGGCCCTCGGGAGACTCGTCATGTGTGCGGCTCTGCCATTGCGAAAAGGCCTTCCAAGCAAAGGCGACCATCTCCTCGTTCCCGTGGGAGAGCAATCCGACGTGATCCAACATCTCGGCCAGGAAACGGGCCACTGGGCGACCAGCAAGCCGTGTGAGCAACAAATCTAGTTGGCGACAGGGAACAGAACGACATACCGTAAGCGCCTCTGGAGAAGCCGAAGAAGTAGATTTCGTCCCCGGGGCTGTAGAACCGCATGAGGAAGCGATAGCCGCCGACGACATGTTGGTCGAAGCTCGAACCGATAGCCGAGTCCTTCGCCTTTAGGTACCACGATCGGAATCGAGCGCCCATGCTCGTGTGGGAAAGCGATGTGGAGACAATGTATGTGCCGATGCCCGGCTGGTAGTAGTGGTCTTTTACCGTTTTACGACGACGGCGTTCAGTGCCCGCGTTTCACAGGACTATCTATGGAAGGGGAGGGAGTGGAAGGAAGACGTACACTGGTCGCCGGCCTCGCGATCGAGGCATCGGAAGATCTTGAGAATGTTGCTATCGCTGTCATCGCCGCGGAACTTGTTGCCCGTGCCGTCGAAGCACAAGACTAGCTTGTGCGGAGTGCGGTGTTGTTGCTCCAGAGCGTGCGCCGGACCCGGCGGCGTGCCTGGGCGATCGACATAGTGACTGGCAGAATCGCGCGAGGCCATCGTGCCTCGGGAGCTCTGGCGTTCCCTGGCCTGCTCAGCACTCAGGTGAAGCCCGCTCATGGTCGGTCGCGTGTCGCTATAATAGGTGTATACTTGATTGTGAGTTGAAAGGGAAGACCAGTGATGCTTCAACAGGCGGATCGTCTGTCGACTTGTGCCGACTCGCCAATATGGCTACCTCTTATTATCACACCTGTCCCGTGCGCCTACACCAGATCCTGCACATGCATGACGCTAGACCGGCAACCAACACCGACCGGAGAGCTTCACATCCAACCTATAGGCTATCATGCTTGCACTACTGCATACTTTGTGATACACACACTGCCTGTCAGTGTCTGAGTCTGGGGACAGGGGTGGCATATGGATATACCCATCATACGTAAGACGCCGCTTTCGATCGCCGACTCGCTAGCAGCGCCCGTCAAGGGCTTGTCGAGATGATTTGCTCCATTGGTGCATCATGTGACCTGCGTCGTGAGGTTGAGATTATGCACCGTACGGTCCGTACCTAGGTTACTATCGTACAGCAGTACTATTGCCGGGATCAGCCAGCCACAGTGTCGGTGGCAGGTTTGCGGCAAGCACTGCCGAGCTCACGGTAAATCCTTTATGGCCTGTTCGGCTTATTCGTGGGTGGGTCGGTGAGTACAGCATCATAAGCTGCATGTGTGAGAAAAAGAAAAGAGAAGGCGAGATAACGAATTAGACCCCCTCTTCCTATTCCAGGCTGGCCTCTTCAGCAGCCCACTCGCCAGGCGCCATCTCCCCTTCGGGAAGAGCCACCCCGGAATAAGATGACGGCTAGGAATTATTGCCAACAGAAAACCCAGCGGTTGGCTGTGGTTGGCTTCAAAGTCGCGGAAGGCGATGCGGGAGTCCATCTCAGCCCCTGCCACCGATTGCCCACAGACTACAGTCGCATACCTACGTCCCAAGTTAGGTAGCTTGGACATAAGAAAAAGAAAACATGCGGAGGGGGCATCGACGACGACGAGGAAGACGAAAACTGCCTTTTTGCATGTCGGTCCATGCCTCGGTCGGTCCGAGCAGACAGCCATGATTAAGTACGAAATACAAATCCTCAGGACAGTGTCCTGGGAATGGGCGATATGGCTCCCCGCCGACGATGGTGTGACCCGTAGGCCTGTCTCGCAGATCCTAAACTAGCGCCAAGGGTGCACGACCGCTCTCTCCATCGCTAGATTGAAAAGCAACATGTTGCGATATCGAGGTGGGCACCACTGTTCAGCTACCTCTTGTCTTGTATACCTTGGCCGCTGTGTCTCGGGGAGCGGAACACGTACATTATCTCCCGATCCCCGTCTTGTTCTTTCTTCAACTCGATAATACCCCCTTTTTGCGTGGCTGCGTTTCCTTCTTTTCCATTGTCAGCAGCTGTTTACCATGGCAGGCAAGAAGAAGACAAGCGGAACATATAAGGATAACGGGACCGGATCCCTCGTCACCGACGGTGCCTCTTCAACCGGAAACGGACCGGGCTTGACCTTTGGCGTCGGTCCCCCGTTCAAGGAAAAATCCCAAAGCCCACCCAAGGCAAGCCGTGATGGCATCACGAAAGCGTTTGCCCAGCTGGGGCAGTGGGCTCACGCCTCCGAGCGTCCGTATCCCACCCAGAACGGGGACGGGACGTTCACGCTCGCCAAGCGCCCGAGCTTCAAGACGGATCTGAAGGCCATGACAAGAAAAGGTAGGCGAGCCACCCAATCCGGCCACACACGCAATGGAGAAATCCCCCCTGTTCTTACGCATGTCGTATAGATTTCAAGACCATCATGACGATCCTCAAGAGCAAGCTCAAGGGAGAACAGCTCATGGACGACAAGACCATGATCATGGAACACACCATTCAGCTCGTGGCAGGCCTCCCTCACGGCTCGCGACTGAGGGCCGAACTGACCAACAACTTTATCAACGAGCTGTGGTACACGCTCGATCACCCGCCCCTGCTGTACATGGGGGAGAAACACCAGTACCGCCAGGCCGACGGGTCGTGGAACAACCCGATGAACCCGATGCTCGGGGCCGCCGGGTCTACGTATGCCCGGACGTGTCGGCCCAGCATCCCCGTGGGCGCTCAGCCGGACCCGGAGCTGATCTTCGAGACCATTATGAAGCGCACGACCTACCGCAAGCACCCCAATAACGTCTCGTCCATCCTGTACTACTGGGCCGACATCATCATCCACGACCTCTTCTGGACCGACCTCAAGGACCACAATAAGACCAAGACGTCGTCGTACCTCGACCTGTCGCCGCTGTACGGCAGTAACCAGGAGATGCAGGACTCGGTGCGGACGTTCAGGGACGGCATGATGAAGCCGGATACTTACGCCGACAAGCGACCGATGGGGCAGCCGCCGGGAGTCAGCGTCATCCTCATCATGTTCAACCGCTTCCACAACTACGTCGCCAAGAACCTGGCCATCATCAACGAGGGC